CATTCAAAAAGAGAAACCGACGCTGCCGGCTGCAGATACACACCGTAAACAAAGCAGTGCGTGCTTACCGTTCTGAATATCAATCCTGCTTAACACTTTCTTTATTCCACTCCGCTCATGTTAATATTTAAATATTCGCCAAGGAACACTCAGGTAATATGACGTAAATTAGAACAGCCTTCTATCTGTGCCGTTTTGACTTCTTTGCTCTCTGTTTTGCTATTATTCTCGTGCAGTGCACTGACTCGGTCACTAAGCTGAACAGCCAATCAGAGTTCCCTCTTTCACTGACATGTCGAATCGGCCGAAAAAAAGCCGGCGAGGACCAATTTCAGCCGACGTTTAAAAAAAGCATTAGAGGTAGATGCTGTGAAATGGTTCAAATTAACAGATTATACATTTGGCGCGAAGAGTAGCAGTTCAACAGGCTCTGATGGCTATACCTAGCTCCCCCTGACTAGCTGATATGCTGTCCTGATAGTTTTATTTGTGTTTTTTAATGTTCTTCTGTTTGTTTCCCTTTGGTTTTACAAATATGACCTAATATATGTTGTGTTACTTAAAATAAATGTTTAAATAGCATTTATTTTTGTATTGAGTTATGTTTTTATGCTATAAGTGGTGTTAAAAAATATTCTGCACATTAATGGGCCAATGTGTTATGATTTGGGATGTGATGGGCTGCTGTGTGCCAGAAAGTCCAGGGCCACTTTTTGCCTTTTTATCTTTAGCGCCCCCCAGGTTGGGAAACACCAAGGCATATGTTTTCCTTGATTGATTTTCCCTGAAAGAGATATACAGGCGTAAGTTACGTTGTTGAAAACGAAAGTAAAAAAGGTTCGTTGCATTTTACTGGTAAATGACAGTTCCAATGCTTTATTAAAATCAACACATTAATGATTTATCTCATCCACCCGCAAATTTTGAATATTTTATTTCTTGACCCACCCCACCCGACCCGCGGGTTATCCGCAGAGTCCGCGGCGCATCACTATTATTCGATAGTTTGATTTTCTTGAGGGGGAATAAATCTCTCCTAACTAATGCTGTAAACTAGGGAATATTCGATGTGTAAATATTAATCGAAAAATAAAATACTATTTGAATTTTACTACGTTGCTTTGCTGGCTGTGAATCCAAGATAAATCGCAAGCACGAACTTTGGGTGGCGCTGTGGAGCGTGTTAAGTTGAATGTGTTTGATCATAACGTTGTCGTTAAATCATAACGTTGTCGTTATCTTTGGGTGGCGCTGTGGAGCGTGTTAAGTTGAATGTGTTTGATCATAACGTTGTCTGCCTCGCGAAGTTTGGAATTACTTGGATGAAAATGGAATTACTTTTGATCAAATTAATTAATTAAACTGAGTTATCATAATAACACCACCACAATGAGAAATCACATGAAATCCAAACACCAGTCGAATGAGGAAATACAGCTGTCCATCACTGCATTCACGACTGCAGGTAAGCGTTGTTACCCCGAGTGAGCCGCGAAGACACCTTATCTTAGCAAAATGATTTCTGACATATGCTTCCTGTAAGTTTCGTGGAGGGACAGGGTTAAGAACAGAAAACACAAAGTGCTGTTAGAAACTTCGCTTAGCACACCATTATATTTGTGACTGCAACGTCTGTCAGCAGCGCGTTTTCTCACTCGAGCATGTGGATATTGTTTTTCTCAACTTGTCTTGAACGTGATACAATGAACATGAAAAATAAACATGAAAACCAAATGCTGACTCTACTAGTGTATATGTACGATTATTGGCGCGGTCTACTTTTGTGCGTTTATTGTCGTTTGCGCTGCTTGAGCTTAAATGCATTTGCTCTTTATATTTTTGTTTACACATTGTTTCATGTTTTCAATTAAAATAGAACCTTGATATATAACGTAAGCTTGTTGTGTAACGTTATACAGGTGAAACTCGAAAAATTAGAATATCGTGCAAAAGTTAATTTATTTCAGTAATTCAACTTAAAAGGTGAAACTAATAGACTCATTACATGCAAAGTGAGATATTTCAAGCCTTTATTTGTTATAATTTTGATGATTATGGCTTACAGCTTATGAAAACCCCTAATTCATTTCAGTAATTCAAATTAAAAGGTGAAACTAATATATTATATAGACTCATTACATGCAAAGTGAGATTTCAAGCCTTTGTTATAATTTTGATGATTATGGCTTACAGCTTATGAAAACCCCAAATTCATTTCAGTAATTCAACTTAAAAGGTGAAACTAATATATTATATAGACTCATTACATGCAAAGTGAGATATTTCAAGCCTTTATTTGTTATAATTTTGATGATTATGGCTTACAGCTTATGAAAACCCCAAATTCATTTCAGTAATTCAACTTAAAAGGTGAAACTAATATATTATATAGACTCATTACATGCAAAGTGAGATATTTCAAGCCTTTATTTGTTATAATTTTGATGATTATGGCTTACAGCTTATGAAAAAGCCAAATTCAAAATCTCAGAGAATTAGATATTGTGAAAAGGTTCAGTATTGTAGGCTCAGGAAGGGAACTGTGTGGAAGAAAAAGGTGCACAAGCAGCAGGGATGACCGTAGCCTGGAGAGGATTGTCAGGAAAAGGCCATTCAAATGTGTGGGGGAGCTTCACAAGGAGTGGACTGAGGCTGGAGGTACTGCATCAAGAGCCACCACACACAGACGGATCCTGGACATGGGCTTCAAATGTCTTATTCCTCTTGTCAAGCCGCTCCTGAACAACAAACAACGTCAGAAGCGTCTTACCTGGGCTAAAGAAAAAAAGAACTGGTCTGTTGCTCAGTGGTCCAAAGTCCTTTTTTCTGATGAGAGCAAATTTTGCATCTCATTTGGAAACCCCAGAGTCTGGAGGAAGAATGGAGAGGCACACAATCCAAGATGCTTGAAGTCCAAGTTTCCACAGTCTGTGTTGGTTTGGGGAGCCATGTCATCGGCTGGTGTTGGTCAACGCAGCCGTCTACCAGGACATTTAGAGCACTTCATGCTTCCTTCAGCAGGCGAGCTTTATGGAGATGCTGGCTTCATTTTCCAGCAGGACTTGGCACCTGCCCACACTGCCAAAAGTACCAAAACCTGGTTCAATGACCATGGGATTACTGTGCTTGATTGGCCAGCATAGAGAATCTATAGGGCATTGCCGAGAGATGAAAGACATGAGACCAAACAATGCAGAAGAGCTGAAGGCCGCTATTGAAGCATCCTGGTCTTCCATAACACCTCAGCAGTGCCAAAGGCTGAACACATCCATGCCACGCCGCATCGAGGCAGTATTCATGCAAAAGGGGCCCAAACCAAGTACTGAGTACATATGCATGATTATACTTTTCAGAGGGCTGACATTTCTGTATTTAAAATCCTTTTTTTTTTTTTTTGATTTCATGTAATCTAATTTTCTGAGATTTTGAATTTGGGGTTTTCATAAGCTGTAAGCCATAATCATCCAAATTTTAACAAATAAAGGCTTGAAATATCTCACTTTGCATGTAATGAGTCTATATAACATATTAGTTTCACCTTTTAAGCTGAATTACTGAAATAAATGAACGTTTGCACTTATTGCCTAATCGTAAGCTTGTTCAGAAATGGTGACAACTTGATGAATAAAAAAATAACGTCTTTCCCGTTAAACGTTATTTAAATAAAGTAATATTCGATTTTTATGAGCCCAAATATTCGAATAATATTTTTGAAAAATACCCATCCCTACTGTAAACCTCTCATTTGGTACATTACTATAATATTAGAGGTTAACCTTACTGAGACCAAACTATTTTATTCACCTGCTAAACAGCACAAGCTGTTTTATTGATGTCTTTCTGGGTTGAAACAGATTGGGTGATTTACATGAGACATTATACTTTTTAGTAAGTTGCAATGTATCTTTCAACATACTTTCTGATGTTCATACATGTTTTTACGTGCTGTAATTTAAAGGGTTAGTTCACCCAAAAATGAAAATTCTGTCAGTAATTACTCACCCTCATGTTGTTCCAACCCCGTAAGACCTTCGTTCATCTTCGGAACACGAATTAAGATATTTTTGATAAAATCTGAGAGCTGAATCACTCCTCCATAGGCTTCTTCAGGGATTGAACTTGCCGGCCTCGAAAAGTTATTAAAGACATTGTTAAAATAGTCCAAGTGACTACAGTGGCTCAATCTTAAGTTTATCAAGCGACGAGAATACTTTTTCTGCGCAAAAACAAACAAAAATAATGACTTTATTTCAACTATTCATGTCCATCTCCTTGGGCCTCGAGTCAGTTCACTAGTGTAATAGTGTAAGCTTCTGTTGTTGTACGTCACACGCATCACGCACATGACCAGCGTCGGCCAATAGTGAGCCTACGTGTGACGTAGCTCTACGGAATCACACTACGTTAACTGACTAGAGGCCCAAATAGAAGGACATGAATTGTTGAAATAAAGTCGTTATTTTTGTTTGTTTTTGCGCACAAAAAGTATTCTCGTCGCTTGATAAACTTAAGATTGAGCCACTGTAGTCACTTGGACTATTTTAACGATGTCTTTAATAACTTTTCGAGGCCGGCAAGTTCAATCCCTGAAGAAGCCTATGGACTAGTATGGAGGAGTGATCCAGCTCTCAGATTTCATCAAAAATATCTTAATTCGTGTTCCGAAGATGAACGAAGGTCTTACGGGGTTGGAACAACATGAGGGTGAGTAAATACTGACAGAATTTTCATTTTTGGGTGAACTATCCCTTTAAAGTGGAAGAGATGACTTGTGCTCCGCACTGCTGCTTGAACTGAGGATCTACAGCGATTTATCAGATTTAAGAACGTCAAAACGAGAATGTCATGTTTTCATAGTCCATTGATCTCTTTATTTAAAAGATCAATGAAGTTTGATGCTAAAAATCCATTATATGACCTTTTAATCCATTTCTTTATTTATGGTTCAGGTTCATTTTGTTTGAAATGCTAAACTCATGAAATCTTTTTTTTCTTTATAGATGATAACATGGGCTCCTCTATGCGCAAGAAGAAGCAGGTTCGTTTTGGGGCACCGCTCTCTCCAGAGTTCTTTGACAAAACCCTCCCTCCCAGTACCCCACTGCAAAAAGGAGGCACCCCAATGTGTCCTCCATCATCTACGGGACTTAAACGCTCTCTGCTGAAGACCCCTCAACGATGTGATGCCCCTCTTCCCCAACCTGACTTCAACAGTCCCCAGTTCAATGGAGCCTCTCCTGTCCTTGTTATCAACAGACGCAGTGCTGGACTGTTGTACAGTGATGAAGTATTTGAAGAGATCGAGAAGGTTTGACACTTGCCAGCTTCTCCAAACTAACTTACCTGATTGTAGATTAATCATGTCCGTGGCTTGTGAGTTTATTCCGTCATTGCACACAGGCTCCTTCCTCTATAAAGTTATGTATTGATGGTGAGTTTTTGTGCCTTTCTCCAATTAATCTCCTCAGATAAGTTTTCCCAGTATGGAGGAAGAGTCTCCCTCACACAAGCCTTCAAAGAACTGCAAGGGTGAGTTATGAAACGATTTTGAACAGAAGGAAAGTTTCTCTGCGGCCTGTATTCTAATTGTGTATGTAAAACTGTAGATGTACTCTCTGCTGAGGACCCACGGCAGCCTCAGGCGGAAGACTCAGAAGTTATGAACGCTGCTTTTCAAGAGGAAGATGATGAACCTTCAAATTCACAGACAGAGGAAAAACTGCCATGTCCCACTAGTGATCAGCCACTGGCTCTCTCCGTCTCCAGTGAGTTAAACTTTCTTCCACTTTTTTTTAGCATGCTCTCTTTCTCGCCCTTAATAAATTCATACCAGTTTTTATTTCTCTTTGCTAAAAAAAAAAAAAGCAAAATAGGATAAAGATTATGGGAGCTCAGTGCAGAAATATAAGTTACTTTTTTTCTAATACATTTACAACACATCTGTTTTTATCTGTTTGTCTATTTTTCTCCCGTTTTTGTGTTAGTTTTAATATTCAATCATTATAAATTTCTTACAGATTCTGCAAGGAGAATGTAAACTTATGAGCGGAAATGCGTTGTTTAAATACTTCTTAACTTTATCTGTTAGACTCTTATGTCCTAATTAAATGTATTTCAGAACAGAAAAGTACATCAATATGTATTTAGTTAGTTTATAACATTTGAAACTCATGTTTCTTGTCAGCAGTAGAGGTGGACCAGGAGTCAGAGTCTTCTGCCATCTCTGAAAAGACACTTTCATCCAACTCCAGCACTGAACCAACTCGCTCTCGCAATAGAAAAAGAAAGGTGAGGACTCGTATCTGCAAATCACTTCTTTAAAACTGTCCATTTTGATGGATCAGTTCAAAGCACAGATTAAAGGGATACTTCAGGATTTAGCATTAAGCTTTGTATTAGTAGAAAACCTGTAGTATTTTCGAATTACCATGCTTTCCACCCTCATATCCCCCTGAGACGAGAGATTTATGTATTTTTTTGTCTGGAAAATATCCTCCGATGACGCAAAAATCGTCATTTTGCGTCATCGAGGATTTTTTGGCCAGAGGCTAAAGACTACAGTCAGTAGTAGGGGCTGTCCCGCATGTTCTCAACCCGCCCATAGAGGGTGGGATCTCACTCACAGAATGTACACAGTGTCAGCCATCTTTTTTTGGAAGCTAAGCTAGCAGGCTCTTGTTCTGTGGAGAAAGCTGAGTAGTAGGGGTTACCATCCTCTTTTTCCCGGACATGTCCGGCCGTCGATGTCTGGGATTCAGCTTTTGCTTTCTGCAGTCGCCATTCATTACATGCTCACCTTTTGTTTCAATCTAACTGAATTCATTCCGATTGGTGAAACTGAATGTAGTGTTTACATGAATGAACGCTAAACAAGTGATTGGTTGATGTGCGTTTTAACGTTGCTAAGAAAATTCACGCTCCTCCATGAGAGATACGAGAGCGTTGCGTCTCACAGGTGTCGCTCATCGGTAATCACGCCACTGGCCTCGCGCCGTGTTCTCCCGCGGCCCTAGCCACGTCCTGCTCGCCACAGTAAACAACATAATGAATGGCGACTGTAGAACGCAAAAGCCGAATCCCGGACATTTTGGCCGATTTTGAAACACATTTTTGGGTAGACTCATCACGGAGACTCACTAGTAGCCTAGACTTGCTGTTTAACTACTGCGCTCTGTTACCGGTAGGCGTGGCCTCCTAGGGCAGCGAAGCAAGTGCATTCTGGGAGTTGTTGTCTTTGATCCAAATAAGCCAAAAATACATTTTCTGGCTTTTCTCAAAAATAATTTCACATTTCTTCTACATAAATGACCCATTTTAAATACATTCATCTTTCCAGAGGTGAAGTATCCCTTTAAGCTCTTTATCATTCAGAAGAGTTTGTAATAGACACTTTGTGACCAAATGTACTTTGTAATATCTATATATTTGTATATTGGTAGAATATTTCTTCCTTGTCTGTACTTTATTTTGATTTAGAGATTTTTACTGTGAGAGAGTTCTTTGAACCAGGCATTATTTATTTATTCAGTCAGAGAAACCACAATTTGAAACTGTTGCCATTTCAATGTTGCATTTTTCAACAATAAAAAAATTCTTCCCAAATGGTATTATCAGCACAATATTTGATCTTTTTTACTTTTATATTCTTTTTCATTTTAAAACTTTATTTCTAAGTTAGTAAATCCCAGATTTTCAATGTGCTTTCAGGCTTTATATTGAAGAACATCAGAAGGCTGAAAGAAATATAATTTCACTCATCCAGCTCTGTTGTGTTCCTTTGTTTCAGCAACCGGGGGAGATTGAGCCTGAGAAAAGGAGAAGCTCGCGTACTGCAGCAGCTTCTGCTTCAGGAAAGATGAAGGTATGAAGCTTAAAAAGTGGATTTATAAGCTGACATTGATGAGTCTTGGTGAACGGGGGCTTTTTAAGCTCTAATTATTAACACTGGCATCAAACTGACATTGAGCCTGAAATAATAACACTAATGTGACTTGGACTTACCATTTGGTATATAAATAGCATGATGCGTGATTTCATTCGTCTGGAGCCTTTGAGCACATTTGTGTGAACTCTGTCCATGTTCATCACTGCAGCTTTTTTTTTTTTTTTCAGAAGTCGTCAGGAGTAAATAAACGATTTGGCAATAAGGTGGATCGTTCTCTGTACGGGAAAAGAGACTATGCTTCAAAAAACCCTCTGCTCAGCCCCATATTTGAGACCATGTCTACCAGTCTCAGCAACACACCAACACAAACCCAATCAGGAAAGCTAACAGGTACTCTTGTCCAAGCGTTTCATTTATGATTCAGCCAATTTTGTCATCCCTGCTTAGTCTGAATGGACTGATTAATCTAAATTAGATTAATCTTCTGCAGAGAAAGACTGATGAGTTCATTGCACACAAATATGTTCTGCTCTATTCACCTTCATGTGTATGACTCTTTTCCCTGTGGGAAAAAAGTTTGGGGTCAGTAAGATAATTTTATTCTTATATAGAATTATACTTTATTCAGCAAGGATGCGTGAAATTGCAATTCTTTCTTTTGGGAGACAATAACTTTATTTATCGTGCACTTTCAACTTTACAACTTTGTAGAACGTTTACATTCACAAACAGCTATATTATACACTGCATGAAAGGGAATATTCAGAAAACCATAATGGGGCATTTTCAAATTTGTTGGATGAACTAGCCCTCTCAAACAGATATTCTGAATTAACTTTACAATCCAGAATAAGAGAACGCAGCTTTGTTAACACAGAACTATATTATGTTGGCATTTTGAACAACTAATGTAAAGGTATTACTCTCTTCACACACAGATGGAGAGCAAGACTGCATTCAGACACCCAACCTTCCCCATAGCAAGACAGTTTGCCCCATGGTAATTCCGGGTACTCCCTGTTCACAGACCAATGAGAACGAGCAAACGTTGAGCTCCTCTGTGACAGACACCACTGACAACCAACCAGATTTGAACGCGGCTTATTTGGAGCCCTCAGTCGGCACTCAGAGTCCCGCAGGAAGAGTAAACTCAGGGTCTAAGACTTCCAAGGCCAAACGATACTCTGGGAGGCCTGAGCGCCAACGTCGTAGCTCAGGCGCAGCCAAGAGAAAGGAGCTCAGCAATACAGCTATTAACTCCACTACTGAATCAGATTATGAATTTGGGGAACAAGATGCTGAGAGCCAAAAGCCAAATCAATCTGCAGGTTTGAGCCCAATGTACCGAGACAGTATTGATTGGCCAGTGCGTCATGAAGCTGAGTGCTCTAAGAACAAGGAAATTGAGGCTTTGAACAGCTATGTGCTACCAAATGAAGACTCCATAACCACTGATAGGTTAGAGCAAAAGACACCAAGTAATAGAAGACGTGGACGTGTCCACACGGTGCTGAACAGTCCTTGTGTAAAGGTCGATGAGAGTGGTCAATCAGAGCGAATTACTGTTGGCATGTCAGAGAGCAACGCTGGACCTAAAGAGCCCAGTTTGGCCCCCTGGCAGCAGGATGACTTCAATATCGACGACATCTTGAAACCTGTGGCGAAGAGTCGAGGGTCAGTGCGACGCAGCCTGAGGAACCGGAGGAGCGTGGACCTGCAGGCTGTGGGCCTGGCCTGGGTGGACCACACGTCCCCGGAGCTGAGTAAAGCGGCTCGGAGAAGGACGCGTGGAAGACTCAGCGGAGTGACGGAACCACTCTTCTTTCAGGCCTCTGAGGAACCAACACCAAACTTGGGAGAATAACTGACCTCAATCGTTTGTGTCAGTAGCGATTTACTGTCGAATAAACTTTTAATGAAAAGTTTAGTCTTTTATCTTATATGTATTGTTTTAAATTAATTTTTTTTTTTATGGATGAAAATTGCCTCTTATTAAGAAGATTGTATAATTGTTAGATTACTTCTGCTCATTAAATCTTCATTTAGATGAAGGATCCTGTTTGAATGGGATTTTCCCGCGGTGATCATTTTGTTTTACATAAATGCCTATCCCAGGACAACGTTTTTTGTTTTCTTTTACTGTATATTTGCCTGCTTCACAATTCAGTTGTACAAACCAATATTTACATCCGAACCTTCAAACTTCTTTTCCATTGGCACTATTTGTCATTAGCATCACTTTTGAAACAAGTTATGGGGCCTGCTTTAAATTTTACATGGATGAATGTTATGAAAACATGTCTGGATCATATTTCAACCCAAAAGCAAGAGAATTTTTTTTGTGTGTGAATGTTTTGTGACATTCATTTTCATAACGGTTAAGCACATTTTTCATTACCGTAATGCATTTTGTTATTCTAACTACTAATATACAGTAGTTAGTTATACAATAATTTTTTTTAAAACAATTTTAAAAAGCCTTTGCAGTATACAAATGCATAACTTTGTGTGTGTGTGTATATTGTAGTTTATATTTAATTGACATAACTATATATATATTTTTTTTAAAAAGGCTTTGTTTATTTTGCATAAACAAAATGTTCAGAAATTTTAATGGTTCTAAAATATTTCTTGTTTCAGGGTTTTTTGGGGGGTGCAATATGGTCTAGTCTAGACATGTTCTTGACATTTGAAATTAATGTATGAAGCACACTCTAAAATTGCAGTCAGTCATTTCTAAAAACAATTTGGAATAAGACTAACAATCTTTTGAAGCGCAACATGTCTGATTCCCTCGGTGGGGTTTAAACTGGCACTCTTCTCAGTTGTGTACTACACCTGTAATTGAGTTTGTGCTGAACAAAGAGCCAACTGTATTAAAATCTAATGGACAATTCAAAGGGGGACTTATGAGTGAATAGAGCACAATAGGGCTTCAATATAATTATATATTTACAACAGTTATATTTACGTTTTTTTTTTTTTTTCCCACAAAACTGAGTACAACGTGGAAATAATTACTCTAGCCATTGATTCATAGCCTTGATTCAGCTGTGTTTGTTTAGACTCACATTATGTTTTATGTGAATCAATCCTCAGCAGTGCTGCTGTAGTCGAAATAGCACTGCAACAGCGTTTAAATATTTATGTCCTGTAGTCAGTCTCCAGTTTCAGAGATCCAGAGGCATTATTTGAACATGGACTTACACCTTTGCTGTACGTGATCAATAGCTTTTCACAAATCGTGCTTCCAATGCAGCTTAAGAATTGTTTTATTATTTAGTTTAAGGTCTTAAAATGGCAATTGAAATTGGGTCTGGCCAGGCAGTTTTCTTGTAGTAATAGAACACTGCCATCTAGTGGAGGCCATAAGTAAGGCTATCACATCCTCACACAGGCCAACACAAATTTGACTACAACAGGATAAAAACGTTCTCTCTTTTTTTTTTTTTTTTTTTGAGAATGCATGATCACAGAGTTTTACTTTTTCCCAATTTTAGAATAACTACATTCACTTTACATGAGTTTACAATGACCTAAGTTTGAGTTTGACTACAACAAATCAGCTAATTGACAGTGATTAGACATTTCGTCCTGGTTTCACAGACGGGTCTTAGATTAAGCCAGGATTAGGCCTTACTTTAATTAGGACATTAGGGTTATTGTATTTATCATGTGCTCTTTTTGACCTTCTGTGTTAACCTATTTTTTACAGTCTATGGTGTTAACACCCTTGAACGTCTGACGGTAAGCACTCAGTGGTGCAGGTGGTGATGTGTTGTTTGCGTGTGTGTGTGGGTGTGTGCCAGTGTTGGGGTTAAAATGATTGTGCTAAGTGTTTTTTTTTATTTTTCGTGGCGTGTGAAGGAGGGAAACCCCTCTCCCCCATCCTGCAGGCCCAGGGAAGGCAGCTTAGCACCAGAACAATGGGGTCCTTTGACCAAATTGAGGCCCTTTAAGACATGTGGCCTCTTGTCACCGTGGCAACCCCCCGAGACAACGTACTAGCCGACAGCTGGAGAGAGAGACTAGAGAGAGTTCATCTCATTGAGCTTCAGGACTCTCCACTTTGTTCTGCCCATTATTTTCTCGCCTACGCCCGCGCTAAGCGTTGAGCGCCTGTCTTCCTTTATTTGTTAATAATGCATACATTTCACATCCCTTATCGCCCATCATCTATTCCATCCAGAGTGATGCTTTAACTAGATCCTTAACAGAAAGACTCATGCAAAATTGATTATGAGTGTCTCATACCACGATTAGATTAAAGTGGTCTGAGGTCAAACGTTTGAGCTGGTGGGCTGAGTGTTTACGTTTTCCAAGTGTCATCTGCTGCGTCGCTGAATTATTCACAACGTGTAAAGTCTGTTTCTAGTCTGTTCCATTGCACATAACTGTCACTCTCCATCTATGCTTTCCATTCAGCGTTCATATTACTCAGTGCTGTCACAAGGGGCACTATATAGGGATTAGCGTATGTTTTACAATTTTCTCCTTCAGTTCTGCTGCTGTCGTGGTTGAGCAGCTTTAACACTTTAACAGCACAGTAACAAATGAGTAGCGCACTACTAACATTATAGTAACTACTATTAACTAACAAGAAACTCTCTGATTAACGAATTAGTTGGCCTAATATCTTTTTAGGTTTTATGTCTCTAACCTGGCAAACTGCCAAATTGTCAAAGTTCTCCCTGTATTAACTCTAACCCTTTGTTTGCTGATGGACTGATAAGAAAACACCTGTGTGCTCTTAATTATATAAATATGCATCCCTTTTGATCGATATGGTTTTGATAATGGTTAGTGCACAGACTGTGTCATTTGAGTCTATTGCCACAGTAAAGCAAGAATACATGCTTATTAAATATGTACCACTTGCGATGCATTAGCAAAATAATTATGTTTGTGTACTTAGAGTATTTCTTGCCTTATTTCACATTTACCTGATGCGTTTTTTTAACCTTTGCACTGTTTTCAGGTCCACTCCTCTCTGTGCATCATAGGTTTCTTTTTACAGCATACAAGCATTGATTATTGTAGCCAATCACAATTATATCTGTTGAGCGCGTGAACGCAATAGCCTATCAGAGGTAGTCAGTTGCCCTGTTCACACCTGCGTTTGGCTCGATCAGATCACAAGTAGACGAGGTAAACACAGGGCCGGCGCTCCGCACACGCACATCACGCGCTGCGCGTAGGGCACCAAGTGCTTGGGGGGGCACCAAAAAATCTGGGTCGTGAAAAATCATCAAAATAGGCTACTAGTATAAATAACAAATAAAATATGTCTAAAGCATGTTAATATACAAAAGCAATACAAAAGTAATATAGGCCTAGACCAAATTAGTCGAGAAAAAGGTGAATCTCATTTTTCGTCTCCCTCTGGTGCCCCCCCTTCCCAGTGGTCTGTTCGATTATGCCTCAATCAATGTCAAATTTGGCAGACACCGACCATAGACATGGCCTCGGAAAGGCACCAAGAGTCGGGGGCGAAAAAAGGAAAAAGAATAGACAGCGGGATGATACTCGCGCGTCGCTTTGCAGGTAAGACAATGTTTTAAATAAAAATGTTAGTTTTGTAGCGCGGGCGCCCTTGCGTCGTGTATGCATGTCCAGGGGGCGTCGCTAGTAGTGCAAATGATCCGGGGCTTTTTTAGCCCTGCATGTTGAATCTTTTATTTTAACGGGGGTCCGGGGCTTTCTCCCCCGGAAATTTTTTAAACTTGGGCTGTTTAAGATGCAGTTAGTTTGTTTGAGAAGAAAAGGAAGACCGCTTAGATACGTTTTTCCGTTGTTGTTTTATGCGGATAATGCGTTCATTTTCAAGAGGCCAAGGCCCAAGGGCGACATCTGTTGGTGAAACTGCAATTAGAAAAAAAAACCCCACAATCTCAGTGTTTGTATATTTTCATATTCACAGAGTTGTCAAATTATTAGGGCTGGGAAAAGATTAATCGCATCCAAAATAAAAGTTTGTGTCTACATGATATATGTGTGTGTACTGTGTATAATTATTTTGTATATATAAATACACACACATATGCACGTATATATTTAAGAAATATTTGCATGTATATACTGTATATATTTATATATAATTTATATTATATATAAATTTAAATATTTTATATATAAATAACAAATATTTCTTAAATACATACATGCAAATGTGTTTTTATATACACTACCGTTCAAAAGTTTGGGGTCAGTGAGAATTTTATTTTTATTTTTTGGAGGATAGAAATCAATACTTTTATTTATCAAGGAATAGTTAATTTGATTGAAAGTGACAGTAAAGACATTTATAATGTTACAAAAGTCTTTTGAACTTCCTATTCATCAAAGAATCCTAAAAAAAAAAAAAAAAAAAACTGTACAACTGACAGACCAACAACTGTTTCAAAATTTGATAATAATAATTAATGTTTCTTGAGCATCAAATCCTCATATTATACTGATTTGTGAAGGATCATTTGACACTGAAGACACTGACACTGGTGATGCTGAAAATTCAGCTTTGATCACAGGAATAAATTACACTTTACTATATATTCACACAGAAAACAGCTGATTTACACTGGAATAATATTTAATACTATAACTGATTTTTGTTGTATTTTTAATCAAATAAGCGCAGCCATGGTTAGCAGAAGAGAATTATTTTAAAAGTATTTAAAATCGTACTGACCCCAAACTTTTGAACGGTAGTGTATATACAAAATAATTATACACAGTACACACACATATATCATTCATGTAGACACAAACTTTTATTTTGGATGCGATTAATCGCGATTAATCTTTTCCCAGCCCTACAAATTATGTACAGAATTATTATATTGTGCTTCATCAGACTAAGAAATTCTGAATGGTTGTTATTCCTTGGGTGGGTGAGGGGGTGAGTGGGGTGGGGGGGCACCACCAAGCATTTGTGCTTAGGGCACCCAAATGGCTAGCGCCGGCCCTGGGTAAACACATTCACGTTTGTCAGAAATTGCGATGATTGACAGTGATAACCAACGGACGAGACAAAACAGAATACATTTTTTAAATTTCAAGTTTTTGCTCTGGTACATAGAGCTCTGGTACAGAAACTCCTCAGTTGGGGTCAAATGTCTTCC